CAGTGGTCCGGAGACGATGACCGTGGTTTGGTTGTATCCCTATGAACTCTTCTGCTAACCTTTTTTGTTATGTTATGTATCGTTTTGTTTTTTTGTTCTCTAGAGGTCCTTTAAAATGGAAAAATTATTTCGTACGGTACGGTGTCGAATTAGGCCCGTGAAAGAATTAGAACAGACCAGCTTTAACAATAAAAAAAAAATGTATTTCAGTGGTTCTTATCAGACACCGTACTCAAATTTATGTGCAATACTCAAATTTATGTGCGGTATTGCGGTGTCCTTACACAATAATCGCTCTTCAAAATGTGTCATTCACGAGAAAATCAATGGTGTGCATTTATTAAAGAATAATATTTTTGGGTTAATTGCATTTATAAGTTTTTAAATATACTTTAATTTTAGTTAAAATGGAAAGAAATTATAATTAGATTGATGTGATTTTAAATAAACTATTTAAAAATTGTAGTAAGGGAGGTATCTTAGCAAATGAGATTTGGATGTAATCTTTTCATGCAAAAAAAAAAGCATATGCATGTCAAAACTAATGTTTACGTGTTAGATATGTAAATATTCATTAAAGATAACAATATGCATAGCAGTTGAAATATTATTTTTTTTATATAAAATCAAGCACTCATGTGATATTTTTACCAGTGGTCCGGAGACGATGACCGTGGTTTGGTTGTGTCCCTGTGAACTCTTCTGCTAACTTTTTTTTGTTATGTTATGTATGGTTTTGTTTTTTTGTTCTCTAGAGGTCCCTTAAAATGGGAAAATTATTTCGTACGGTACGGTGTCGAATTAGGCCCGTGAAAGAATTAGAACAGACCAGCTTTAACAATAAAAAAAAAATGTATTTCAGTGGTTCTTATCAGACACCGTACTCAAATTTACGTGCGGTGTTGCGGTGTCCTTACATAATAATCGCTCTTCAAAATGTGTCATTCACGAGAAAAGCAATGGTGTGCATTTATTAAAGAATAATATTTTTGGGCTAATTACATTTATAATTTTTTTTAAATATACTTTAATTTTAGTTAAAATGGAAAGAAATTATAATTAGATTGATGTGATTTTAAATAAACTATTTAAAAATTGTAGTAAGGGAGGTATCTTAGCAAATGAGATTTGGATGTAATCTTTTCATGCAAAAAAAAAGCATATGCATGTCAAAACTAAAGTTTACGCGTTAGATATGTAAATATTCATTAAAGATAATAATATGCATAGCACTTGAAATATTATTATTTTTATATAAAATCAAGCATTCATGTGATATTTTTGAACTATTGAATCGATATATTTACGTGTGTCACGATCAAATTGATTCAGATGTTATGAATAATTTTAATATTTGAGTGAGAAATTTAAAATTTTGGATGAAATAGAGGTGCTAGATTTGTACATAAATATAATTTGTTTCCTAACACTGGTGCTAAATTTCTTAAGAATTTGAGTCCCAAGACTGGCAGGTAGGACCGGTGGTTTTGCTGGTAGGTAAGACCAGCAGGCAGTAGCCAAGTAAAGTGGGTGGCTAGGTGGTCCCGCTAGCATAATGCAGCAGAGGTCATTTCAATCAATGACTCATTAAAGTTACTGAAATGAAGCTTCAAATCAGCACGTGTAGGGCCGGTAGGAATTATATTTATTTATATTATGTATAATAATTTTTTTCTAATTTTTATTTTGCAGTCAAGAGTATTTTTTGTTTGCATCACTATTCATTATTAAGAGTTTATTTAGTCCAGCTGTAATTTATTGTATAATATGTTATAAGTTAGGTACAATGGCTATTACAAATTTTTATTTTCTTAAAAAAATCAGACTGCAGCCAGAAAACTCACACCGCACCT